CCACTGGGACTAGGATTTTTATTATTGCCTCCCTTTGCTCACCTTCAAGAGGAGCCACATAACATATACTGGCAAATTCTTGGGTTAAGAAGTCAGATTTTTACTTTTGGTTTTCAGTTCCATTTTTGTGATCTAAAAACCATAATATTGGCAAATCACTTCACATCTCTGAATTTTTTTTCATTTGTGAAATGGGTACAGTAACATTAGCTCTCTCATACTATACTTGTAATAATATGTTAAAGTATTTTATATACTGTATGGAATTTTCACAAATATTTTTCTGTACCCTGGTATATTTGTGTGTGTGTGTGTGTGTGTGTGTGTGTGCGCGCGCACGTGTGCGCGCCTGAGCCAAGAGGATTGTTTCTGGAATAAAAAATAGCATGAAAGTCACAGATCCTCAGAGGACAGCCACTCAACACTTGCATTAAAAGTAGTAACAAAGAAATTAAATGTCAAACTAAATTCTCAAAGTCTTACTAATTGGAACCTCTAAGGAAATATATATGCATACACCAGGAAATAGAGAGAAAGTAATGAGCAAATAAAGATCTAAAGACTTGGTTAGGGATGATAAATGTTTCCCCAGACAGTTTCTACATCCCAAAGGAGCCTGGTATCTGGAAAAATACACTGATGATGTAATGAGAACCTTTCCCAGAGGAAGCACCTTTTACTGAAGAAAACATAGGCCTCTGGATGCAGCCAAAGATTTTCAGCTGTGTGGCTCTGGCGTGTCTTTCTCATTACCTCCATTTTCCATTTATGAAATGGTGATTCTGCTTCTTTCTCTAAAATACTATCTAGTAATACCAGAAAATGAAATAAATTTTGTGAAATTATATAGAAGCAAAAAATAAAGTAACTAAAATTCAATAATAGATTCTATGGGTTAATTTATCTCTGTTTTCTAAACTGCTAAGATACCTGTGGCAATTACTAGGCAAATATAGCCAACCCAGCAGGGTTCTTAATCTCTGTCCATCTAAACCATATGTGTTTCATCAGTTTGCATCCATCTGCCCAAACATTTACTAAACAGAGCAGTTAAAAATTGTATTGTTTATATGGGAGGTAAACACACAGTATAAATATATATATGCCTTACTGTTAAAGTGTACAGCTGAAATTTATTAGATTTCATTAACCAATGTCACCATAAAAAATAAATTTAAAAAAACTGTATAATGTAGAGATGGAACAAAACAGAGGGAATTGACAGAAAAATTGTCTAAAGCAGAGGTTACAGACAGTATTACCCATCCAGAAAGCTAAGAGTATATCTACAGTTTTTAAAATGCATTTTTCAGCCTGAGAAACCCTGGGGATGAGGAAATCCAACTAACATGCCTCTCCCCTGAGGCTGAACATGCGTAAGCATACCACCTGCACCTATGCTCTATTATTTGGGAATATATTGATGAGACTCCAACAAAAGCCGGATCTAGAACCACAAAGTGTTTAGACTGGGGAAAGGTAGATGATGAATACTTTCTTGGCAGAAGCTTGTGAGGTAAAAGAGTTTGTCTTTATAATCTCTAGGTTGCTAAAATATGAGAGAAGATGGTGTCTGACAGTGCTACTGAGCAAAGTTTAGACCTAAATGAAATGTTTATTTGTGCATTGGGCTCCCTCCCAAACCATTAGGCCCTAATAATTTGGACTGGCTTCCCCATCCTCCTTTCAGCCCAAGTGCCTGGTCCCTGGCAAAGGAACCTGGAGGGGACAAAATTTTCTCTTTTCCATAGACCAAGCCTCATCTAAACACATAGAGTTTCACACACAAGATTCAAGTCACTTACTTTATGTATTAAACACAACTCAAGCCTACAGGATAACTGATGAGTGCTGCTCTCAGGTCATATAAAAGTCTTGTTAAATGTAGATATTCACTAACAATTTCCATCTGGCAATACTTACAGCCACGTGTCTGACCACGGGTCAGAGGTGAAAGGGAGGTAACAGTTCACTAAAAGCATTGTTTTCATTGGCTCATAATTAAAGACTCGAGAAATTGATTATTGGTGGCCAGAGGGCTCCTTGGGCATTTGTGAATCTCTTCCTCAGGCGAAAATGAGAGTGGGAGTGGTTCGATGGTATATTAAAACATTCCAGACGTAAATCTTAGTATTGTCTCTGAAGACCTCTGCACGTAGGCCCAGCTAGATGATGCAAAATAAGCTGGCAAGGCAGAGCAAACTCTAGGAATGTAGATGGTTTTAGGTGATGAGAGTGTGCAGGAAGACATTTCAATCCCTGGTGGTTATATGGTCTTTTATTCAACATGGGTCCATTAACACTGATGTGTGGTGATTCATGTGTTTGTGGCCAAATCAGAGGGTGTGGGTGAGGGACTGACTGGCCAGCTGATGGGACATACAGCTCTCCAGAGGTCCCCAACAATCCCTAAATTCTTGTGGCTGACCACTTTCACTGTTTTCATTCACAGGTTATATGTTGGTCTAAGAGAGAAAAGGATCTCTTTAGGTCATGTTTTTAGCATCGCATCTCCCACCAACTGTCTTCTTACATTTTCTTCCTCTACAAATGAACCATAATCTTAGTCTGCTGTTTACAGAAAACAATAACCTAACTTTGATGTGAAAAACATTTGTTATGGACTATACATGCATGCATAGGTAACTCAGCCATTTAATCCAGGTTGACTAAACAGGATTTTATATTAAATTCTCTTAGTTTTCCTGGACATATGTCACCACTTCCTAATTCTGCTCCATGCAGATATTCTATTTTATTCCTGCAATCCAGTTTTCAGTCAAAATCAACTAAAACTAAATGAAATAAATACTCTAACTTTACACTTAAAGGAACTAGAAAAATAAGGACAAATAAGACCAAAAGAGAGTAGATGAAAGGAAATAATAAAGATTAGAGCAGAAATAAATAAAATAGAGTCTAAAATATACAAAATATTAATAAAACTAAGAGCTGGTTCTTTGAAAAGATAAACAAAATTAATAAACCTTTAACCAGACTCATCAAGAAAAAAAAAATGGGAGAGAACCCAAATAATTAAAATCAGAAATGAAAGAGAAGTGACAATGGACATCACAGACATAGAAGGAGTTATAAGAAATCACCACAATTATATGCCAACAAATTGGACAACCTGGAAATAATGGATAAATTTTCAGAAACATACAATTTTCCAAGACTGAATTAAGAAGAAACGGAAAATCTGAACAGACTGATTACTACTAATGAAATTGAATCAGTAATCAACAAAACTCCCAACAAACAAAAGTCCTGGATCAGATGGCTTCACAGATGAATTTTCCCAAACATTCAAAGAAGTATTAACACCTATACTTCTTAAACTATTCCAAAAAATTAAGAGGAGAGAAAGCTCCCAAGTTCTTTTTTTTTTCGAGGCCAGCATTATCCTGATTCCAAATTCAGACAAAGACATTACAAAAAAAAAAAAAAAAGAAAAGAAAAAGTTACAAGCCAATATTTTTTATGAACATAGATGCAAAAATCTTGGTGTCCTGATTCCAGACTTTTGTTGTTCCCATTTTCAGTGTGTGTGTGTGTGTGTGTGTGTGTGTGTGTGTGTGTGTTTGTGTGTGTGTGCAGAGGAAGAAGTGACAACAATAAAATATTAAACTAAATTTTATGTGATCGATTGGTGATTGGCTACCTCAAGATTCAGAGAATGGGTCTATGTCTTTTCATCTACCTATCAGCTTCATTTCTCAGGAAGCTGCTCGGTATAAGCTGCCTCTGGTCTTCAGCTCAAATCTTGATGACTTCATAGATTGTCTGATCCAGCAGAGTAGTTTAAGAATCAGGAATAAGATGCATCAGAATTTACTTTTGAGTGTTAGCTTCTTTATAAATATAACAGAGTTAAAAAGAACCACTTACTCTGACCTGAGTACATTTCTCTCTATTTTCAAAATCGGCTGAAAGCCAAGGGATTTCTGGATCGATCATCTATCCTGGATGCTTGGTACTGTCTGACATCTGAGACCTATTTTCTCATCTGAAAACTGAGGGTCTTAGGAGAAGATGATTTCGTGGATGACTTTTAGCCCTGAAATACTCCTTCCATTATGGAAGAAGAGAGTGGGGTGGGGCGAAGGGAAAGCAAGAAAGTAAAAGAATAGCCTCTGGGTTAGGGTTCCTGGAGTCCTTTCCTTCCTCCGTTGTCTCCCTCCACTGGTGTTTGGGTTTATCCATTTTTCTCACTACACCTTGAGTGCCAACATCATTCCTTTTTCCCACCTCATCGGGAAACCCATTAGTCACACTAAGGCACTTCAAACACCGGTGCTGGTGCAGCAAGCCAAGAGTAAAGGTGTTTCATGTCTGCCTATTTTCCCCACTGTCATTCGTGAAAAGGGCAGATTGGTGAACTCTAACACTTCTTCTAAGCCATTGCCTGAAGCTTTGTTTTTTTTCTTTTTTAATTGACAAAAGACAAATCAGAACTGAGCTGATATGTTGCTCTAGGGCACTGGAGAGGGTTGGCCCGATGACCTGTGTAGGTCTTTCAACTCTCAGAATTGGTGACTGTAATTCCTCTTCACAATTATATCATGTGGGGATTAGCACTTTCTCACTCAGCAAGTACGAATTAAGGCTTGGAAGACAGAGTCTGACTCATGAGAAAGAAGAGGGGTTAGAGTCCAAGTCTGAGTAAGTAGGCCTTATTTCCTGTGCTTTGGGATCAGAGCTATTCTGTTATACAACTCCAAGAAGCATTACTTGTTAAAGGTGCCCCTTGGAACACGGTTTTAATACAATAAGTAGGAAACAGTGCCCCCTGAAATTGAGTGGTGCTGCTTCCCTGTTTGTGATATCTCAAGTACCTTCATTTCATCACATAGCATTTTGTATCATCTGGAAAGTCCAGAGAATACTTTCATCATAGTTCCCTCATGAAACCTGGCAAAAGTCCATATCAACATGCATACGCTGGGCCAAAAATGTGATTAATAAAGAAGAAAGGTTAGGGTGGGGGTAGGGGTGATGAGTACTTTATAAATCCAGACAGCAAACCAAGTTGAACATGAAAGACAGAAAAATGTACAAGATTGTGCTATTTTACTCTGCACTCTTTGAAAGTGTGTGTGTGTGTGTGTGCGTGCGTGTAACTTGCAGGCGTTAATGCTTTTCTTTGTTCATGTGACCAGTTTACAGTATAATAACTACCATACCCTGGCTGCCACCAAGGGTCAAGTGCTTCTCAAACATTAGTTCATTGGGTACTCCTGGTAATCCTATGGTCACCGGGTGTTATCATCTCTTATTTTACAGAAATAAGATTTCTTATTTCTGGATTTCAGAGGTGCATAACTTGCTCAAGGTCACACAAATTAAGTAACAGTGTCAAAGATCAAACTCAGATCTCTCTGACTCTAAAGGTGTGCCTTTACTAGAATATCAAACTATTTTTCTTCTATTACAGCGTTATGTTTTCTTGAGCAAATATAGCCCTAACTGCTCCCTTACTGGCAGTAGGGTAGAAGTAATAATAATGATAATAGCAGCACATGTGGAGCTTATTATGTGCCAGGAACTGTCCTAAACACTTTATGATGTATTAAATAACTTATTCCTTGTAATGTCTTACAAGGTAAGGTTGTACCCTATTTCTAGATGAGCAAACTAAGATTGAGAAACTGGCACAAAGTCACCAACTGGCACTAGCTAGGAAGAGGTGGAACTGGGAATCAACGCCAGACAGTTGGGCTCCAGAGCCTGTGCAGGCCACCAAGAAACTAGAAGAGGTTGTCAGAAAGATAAGTCACTCAGTGGAAACCCATTGTACTGTTCAGACTGGTCAGGCCCACATTAGATACAGTTTGTGAGGCATTCACACTCCAGGAGAGGAGAAAGCTGGTGAGTCAATGAGTTGAACCTTTAACTCCTTAGTTTCTATTGCCTGACTGACCAACACACTCAGTTGCAGGCCAGGGCATAAAGCCAAGGGCAGCTGTCTTTCCTTGGGGGTACCTGCGGGAGCGCTGGGAATCACACAACACTGGGGGAGGGGCTCGGAGAAGTGGATATATCTCCTGCATCGGTCAGGGTCAGGTATTTTAATTGTTTCCATTTCTCTTCTCACTTCTTTGTCATTGCTCTCTTTTTTCCAGAAAAGTGAAATGAATTCTTTGGAATTCTTAGGAACTGAAGGGTTTTAAATCTGTAATGTTTATGAACTTGCTGAGAGCACTGGGAAACGAGGCTTGATTTTGCACATGAAGTCATATTTTAACACAAACCAAAAAAAAAAAAAAAAAGAGAGAGAGAGAGAAAGAGAGACAGAGAGACAGAGACAGAGACAGAGAGAGAGACAGAGAGAGACTTGAGAGTCTGTGGGGATCAGAGCTGGGTATTGTGTTACAGAAATTTTCCATTTCAGACACAAACTACGTACAGTAGTATGTGAGCCAAAAAAAAAAAGGCTGAGAGAGACTCCAGGAGGGCCCGAAGAAATAATACCTCCTTCTTTAATCTTGAAGAGTGCAGCCAGGTTCTTGAGGAGGGCTGCCCAGAGGTCTGGATCAGATCACTCAGACGTCTGGGATTAGAATGATGATGATAGCAGTATCGTGGGGCAAAACTTCAGACAGCTCCCTAAGATGCCCCTGAGCAAGAAACTTAACTTCTTAGTGCCTCAGTTTCCAATATCTGAATTTGTTGAGAGTAGTGAAAATGTTATACATATTAGCTACGTAAAATGATATAATAATGCTAGATTATTATTAAACAATACTTATAGCTAGCATTTATTAAAGCCTTACTATGACTGAGCCACTGTGTTAAAGTTTTCTAAACATTACCTCATTTAATCCTTACAACAACTCGATGAGATCAGTGGTATTCTTTTTCTGGTTTTACATATGAGGGAACTGTAATTTAGAAAAGCTTAATGACAGGAACAAGTTTATAACCTTAAGTGGTTGACTCGGGTCTCAAATTGATACCTTACTCTACGTCCCTGAGGACAGGCCAACCATGGCTCACACTGCTCTGGTCCTGGGATGAATCTGGACATCATTTGTTTGACAATCTGTGCCTTTCGCCCCTCGTTCTATCTTTCAGCAGTGCTCCTTTCAGGTTAACATGGAAGCACCTATTTAAAAAAGAAGTTGAGAAGTTGGGCATGTTTTCCAGGTAAATAAACTGGTCTTAGCACCTCCGGATTGATTCTGAAACAGGTATTACCCAGAGCAGTGGTTCCTGTAGTTAGGTATCCGACCAGCAGCATTAGCATCACCAGGGAATTTGTGAGAAATGCAAATGCTCTGGCTCCATCCCAATGGACTGAATCAGAAACTCTGAGGGGGTACTCGGCCCTCTTAACCAACCCTGGAGCTGATTCTGATGCAGCTGAAGTTCAAGAACCATAAGCCTCTGGGGTAGATAAAGGAGAGAGTTAAATCAGGAATCAAGGTCTATGATTCTTAACAGCTGCTAGTGACTCATTCCTCCAGTCATTCCCTTCTGGGTTCCTGTCCTTTTTAGGATGAAGGATTTGCTCAAGTCCCATCTTGTGTGATAAATTTCATCAACAGTGTCGTTCCTTTCTGAATCAATGTGCATAAGGAGACTTTGAGCTTTATCCACTCCCACGTGTATGCAGAGCCCACTTCTGTTTTTGGAACCACTGGCTCGTTTTCTAGTCTGGATGACTAGCTTCAAGTTACCCTACATGCCAGAAGAGAAAAATAAGGTTTAATAAAACTGTGGTTCTAGATTGAATTGAACACTTACAGAATTGGGGTTAGCTCTCTAGATGTGCTCAGTTTTAAAGGTTCTGAACGGAGCTATGCATGAGTCACAGGGCACCCTGTCCTCCTTTCTTCTCTCCCCAACACCTAAAATTCATGACAGAGGGTGAAGCAACTAAAGCCGAAAATGGGGAAAATCATTGCTTTAGTTTTTTAAGGTAAGCTCTGACTTAAGCTTTGTCTGCCTCTCAGGCTCACTAGTCCCACATGTCACTCAGTGGAAAACTCAGACTGAATGCACATTTTTTTCTAGTTCCTTCTCCAGAGACCAGTATAAAATGGGTCCCCTGTCTAACACAAATCTGCCTTTTAATAACCCTGTAAACATAATTTTCAATAAAATCTACTCCAGGTTTGCTAGTTTGTTAGGAAAACCTTTCTTGTTTTCTGAGATGCTGCTTTTCCTAATAAAAAAAAGTGGGAATTTTTTTCAACTTTGCCAGAAAATGGAAACCATAGTTATTGATGTGAGCTATATTTACTGTCTTTGCAGTAGAAGGACATTTTCTCTTACCTTAATAAAGATTCACTAACATTAAGTTCTGATTGCAGGGGTCTCTGGAGTACATCTTACATCTCCAAATAAGGTAAAATAATTAAAAAAATGTAAACTTGGTTTCTGTTGCTGGAAACTGTTTTTGAGTTTCGAAAGAACTTTGCTCAGCACTTTGTGTTGCTATCTGGTCTTATTTTAATTTACTGCAGACATACTGAAAGAATATCAGTCATGAGCATGGGTGAGCAACATGAAAATGAAGGCAAAATGTGCTATGGATGTTAAACACTGACCTAGTGGAAGGGGAGACTCTGCCTAGCAATGTCTTTCTTGAGATGCTTTTGCAAAAGTGTTGTGGCTACAGCCTAGATTCAATAATGGAAAATGAAAAACCCAGGATGTCACATGACCTTTCCTATGTGACAGATATACCAAGTTCTCTGCCCCTAATGATCCTTGCCTTACAAATGTTGTTGCTATTATGAACCATCAATAAATATTTTATCTCAACATAAAACTTTGAATAAAAATTTTGGAGAGAGACAAACCCATGTCCGAAATCTGACTTTACCTCCTAGTCGCTGTGTGCTCTTGGACAAGTTACTTAACCTCTTTGAGATTTGTTTCTTCACCTACAAATTGAGGATAAAAATGATCAATTCATAGGGTTGCTATGAAGACTAATTTGGATAATGTCCAGTGCTAGCACTTAGTAGCTGTTATTACTGTATATTTTTGCCGTCTTAAACTTAATTGGTGCAAAGAGTAAATTTACATGCTGAAACAAAGATTTCCTGCTGCCTGTATATAAGCATGCATATATGTGCATATGTATGGCAGATATTTATGTGCAATTGAGAAATATATATAGAAAATTATAGTTTTACTCTAATTAGCTCTGAAAAGCAGTACATTTTCTTTCTTTCCTTAAACTTCACTGAACTCTACAGACTTATTTCTATCATCCTGAGTGATTCTCTCAGGCTAAAGATGGCCTAGGCCCCACATCAATAGGACTCGTTAGCAAAATACACCTTATTAATCTGTCTGTCATACGTCTATTAGATTATAAAACCACTTCCAGGTTTCATTATGGTTGTTGATCTCCCCTCCTGTGGATTCAATGCCATGAAAAAGTCAAGCCATGGACTCTCCAGGCCATACCCACAGCAAAAATACATTTGGAATATTTTGTTAGAAAATAATTTAATGACGTCTTGATGTTTTTAGTAAACTCTGATTCTGGTGTTTAAAATAAATACACTCAAAAAGTCAAGAAATAAACTATGAATGTAAAAATATTATTATTTCTGTTTGTAAGTCAACTTATTATTAAGGTGCTTACAAATTCGCTATGAAAAAAAGTGGGGAGCTTATGAGAAAAGAGGATGGTAGAATTTTAGAATGTATTAGGATACCAGTACAGGCATTTCTTTCATTAAAACACACACACACACACACACACACACACACACACACACACAATTTCGAAACTTTGACCGGAGGAATGCAGAGAGAACCAGCTTGTGAATGGTGGGGGCTGATGCAGAAATGCATTAGGTCATAGGTTCCACCCTGCCACAGTGAGATTATCCCCCATATGGTAGTTTATGTTTCTGTGGTTTGCTGAGGGCTTGGGCTAGTTTTAAGTAATTTTCTTCAAGGTCCTCTAAGCCAGTTAAAAATTATTTTGTAAACTATTCATTCTATCACATGCTTCAGCAAAATCTACCACAATCGAATAAGCATCTGGATATGTTCTCTGAGAGGCAGATTAGCCTCTCCTCTTCTTAAATTTCAACTTTTTACCTCATTGCAGCAAAATCTCTTTATCTCCTTGGTGTTTAAATTTTTCCCAGGCACTGAGTGTTTTGACTCAGTCTTGCTACACAATCCACAAGAGACTCTTTAAGATTCATGGTCTGTGTCTCTAACTAGAGGTTTTACAAATGAATTGACCATAAGGTGGCAATAAATAGGTCATCAATGCTTGAGAGTTACAGCTTGTTTTGTTCTCTGCTTCATTTATAATTCAGTCAACACAAGATATCTCTTGAGGGTCCATTGTGAGAAGGACAGTGGGCTGTAGCTCTCTGGACCTGGACCTTGCACAAGTTTTCTCTCCCTGCTCTACCCCCAGGTGATTACTATTTGTCACACACATGTGAACATACACTCACTAGCATACACACTTTGTCTCCATCTGCTCTCTTCCCACCCCACCCTTTTTTAACATTTGGTACTTATTTGATGTTTTATTTTCTGTGATCACAAGGTTGACTTAGAACAATTTTCTCCAAACTTCTCAGTTGAAAATAATCACCTGGGACATTAAAAAATATATGCTTTCTTGAGCTCTCTAAGTTGGTTTGAAGTTACTTAAATATAAATAGAAGAGGACCCATATATTCTCTAGCATATATGATTCAACAGGGCTGAGGAAGAAATCAGAAATTTTATTTTTAGGAGGTTTCTCATATGATTCTTTTCAACAGATAAGATTAGGAAACACCAGAGAGGGAGATGACCTCCTAGGTCACTTCCAACATTGACACATTATACTTCAGACAATCCTGATGACTTTTCTCAGAGGTCTTAATTGCTAAATTACACCAACTCTCTTCTTTAACCTCTGGCCCTGAAGTGTTCCTGCCTTCTGAACTTCCATTATAACTGTCTGCATTATTCAGCAGTTACTCATTACACTATTTTGCAGAATTTCTTCAATGCCTCACACTTTTATTTAAATCTTAAATTTTATTTAATGTTTTGAAGTTTTTCATTATATCTACTGAAACTATGGTAGACTCCTCTAGAGGAGGGACAATATTTTCTGGATTTCTTTTTATTCTTCATTTGTGTACTTGTTTAATGTTTTATTTTCTGAGATCAAATGGATGAGGTTTTGTCTCTAACTTAATTTTCTCTTTAAATATTAATATCTTGCTGCCTGGGTAGAGACTATATTATTTCATTTCATATAGTAAGAGGCATAAGATTTGGGAACCTAAGTTTTATCCTAGCTGGTGCAGCTGTTAGGTACTCAAATAACCCCCTAATCCTTTATAAAAACTTAATCGGACAGCTGCCTTGATAATATGTAGTTTCAATAACAGCCTCTGTTGAAGAAAATAATATCCCATTGTAATATGTCTCATAGATTGATGATATTTCTCTGCAAAGAAATGTCTAATGGATAGGAAATCCCAAAACTGGGGAATTGAGCTACACACTGAAAAGCTCACCTTTAATTTTTACCGTGAGATAGGAGTATATTCTTTGGATTTAGCAACCGTTGGAACTTTGCTATATTTATGGTTTAATTAGACTGTTTCAATGTAGTGGAACAGCTCTTTAAAGTACTTTTAACAAGGATACTATTGTTAAAGAAAAACAGCTCTTTCATTTGAGCCATTAAAATTATAGGGAGGGGAATGAAAAAATACCCTTGGCAGCATATTTTTTAATTCAGCTGTGACTTCTCCAGCCTAATCGCCAAAAAGCCTCTGCAAGGCAGTTCTTGTTTACATAGCAGTTTGATCTGGGTTCTTGTAAAATTAAACGTAGGTTGACAAATTAAATTTAACATCACCACCCTCCAGGACGTTGTAAATGTAAAGGAGACTAAAACAAACATGGGAAATGTTACCGTAACAGGGCAGTGTAAAGTCAGATCTAATAAAACATAGTAATCTTGCTTATGGATATAATTTAGTGCAAAAAGTATCAACAAACAGTTGATATTAATTTTTTAAAAATATATACCTCCATCATCTTTCATACACCATTAAAACAGATGTCTTTGTTTCTCCACACATTTTTTTTTCTAACCAGGATTTACCAGAGACATCTTTCTGGTTCTTAAATTAAGCAGTTTAGTGGTTTTGCAGTATCACAGTTTAAAATCTCTTTCAAGAATTCATGAAATAAGCATCTTACATTGTTGGTGGTTAATTACATTAGAACATTCAGTCTCTTTGAACTTATTCTTAAAATAGATATATATATATATTTTTTTTAATGAAAAAGTCTCACAGGTAATCTGAAACTTACATACCAATATAATTTAACAGAAAAGACTCCTCGGTCTTGTCCAAATTTATTTAGAAGTACAAATAAAAAGATTAAAATTTTAAATGAGAAACTCGTGTTTAAAGTCTGACTTTGAAAGAAATGAGAAATATACATTATGTAAATGTAATTAATGTAACACGGATATTATGATTTGCAAACTGCTTAACTTAACAAGAAAAATGAGGTGACTATAAAGAGAGATTTGAGTTGGCTGCTCTAGTAGGGCCTCACAAGGTCACCAAGTAAAATGGACTTTCATCATTTTTGCCTGCCCTGCCTTCCTGTGTCAGGGAGTCTCAATAAGGAGACCCAAGCCCAAAAGTCCAGATGTTTTCATTCTCAGTTTCTAGACAGCTCAGGCCACCACTTACATTTGCCTGAGACTTTGAGTATTCACAGAGGAATGCAAATGTTCAGGGGCCTTTAGAGATTATGGTTGTTGCCTTTGATGGAGGGTAGAGTCCAGGTATGGAACTGTAGCTGTTATGTGTGATGACAATGCTAGTGGGAGCATCTTGAACAGACTGTTCAGGGGTGCCATCTTGGCTCTGTTTTGCCTTCAGTGTTTTCTTCCTGTGTTTCTCTCTAGCATTTCCAGACATTCTGTGAGTTACCTGACATCCTTCCAATAAATTCCTTTTCTGCTAAAAGCTTCAGAATTAGTGTTTGTTCTTGGAACCAAGAATTCTGACTACAACACCAAGTTTTAATTCCCGCTCTTTAGGACCAGAAACTTCTGTGCATCCATATGCCCATAGGTGATTAGGTTCTAGGGGCTGTGCAACTCACAAGAAACTGAGGTTGGTGTCACTAATGTTGTTTAGATAAACTCCTCCTCACTTCAAATAAGATTTGAGATTACACAGAAAGACACAATCCAACAAGGGTTAAAAATAGGAGAGGGATATAGGAGGATGTAAAAGTAAAGGTACTGATGCATGAATCAGATTGCTAAATGTATTACTTTGTAATGAGAAATAGAACTTGTAGGCACATGAGAGCACTCAGTTCAACAGGTCCTCACATTCTCTCCCTTGTAGGAGAAGCTTCCTGGGAAGCTAAAACAGTCAGAGGCTTCCATGGAGGTGAGGGTGGTAGGTCTAAGCAAAGGAAACTCAACTATCCTTGGGCTCGAATCACCAAATAACAGTCCCTGGAGTACTCTGCCCTGGCATTCTGTGGCTAATGAGTTCTTGCTTTTTGCTTTGCAATGCTCTTTAAGTCTCTTTTAAAAATGTAAATATATTCGGAAGAGATAACACATTAAGTCATTTACTTTAGCAAAGTGTTTCCTAAACTTCTGTCATTCATGTACTATTTTCTCAATCTTGCCATATTCATATATTTGTGTTTTATTATATTTTTATACCTAAATACTTCCAATACTTTGTTCTAAATAATATATGTGAATGTGAAAGTTTGTTTTGCTACATATTTTTTAACACTCCTGAAAATGAATCTGTAGTGTTAAAATGATTTTACATCATCATCTTGCATTCTGCAGAAAATGTATCAAGTGAACTAAGATTTTGTCCTTGTTTGAAAAATCATGCATAGAAGTTAAAATTTTGGAGCCCAAATTTACAGAAAATGTCTCTATTTTTCTCTAACCCTTGATTTATAGTTTGGCTGGGTATAGAATTCTATGGTGAAGTCCTGTCCCCACCCTCCCGCCCCCGATCTTTGAAGGCATTTCCTCCAAATCTTTTAACATCATATAGTGATATTGATGAAAGGTCAGAAGTCAGTTTAATTTACATTCTTTGTAGGTTACCTTTTTTCCCTTCTGGAAGTTCTTATGTTCTTTTAATCTTTGGCATTCTAAAATATCATACTATTCACTAGTTGTTTGTTTTACTTTTTAATTTAATTGGTTGGACATGAGCCATTTTAATTTAAACATTGTGACTTTTGAGTGCTAAGATTCTTTCTGATAATTTTTTCCCTTCAATTTTCTGTGCTGTTTCTGAGACACTTATTAGTTACATATGGAACTTCCAGGATTGGGTATCAGTGTTTGGAATCTCTATCAGTCAGCAAAATTAAAGCTTTCTGTGTGTTATCAGTAGAAAGTGTTTTAATACATGGAATAAGCATTGGAAGGGCTGGAGGATTGAAATTTTCTTGAACTATCACAGACTAGCTCTGTCTGCCATCCCAATGTGCATGAGTCTCTAGATGCTCACCAGGAAGCTGCTTCAGCCCTCATATGAACTTTTTGCCTGTGCATCTGCCTGCAACTATCTCCATTATTCTGGAGAAATGACCTTTGCTCTTCTACCTTCCAAATCAAAAATACCCACTCCAGGCTCTAACCTGAAACCGTATGTGTGTGTATGTGTTTATTCAATTCCTTTCTGATGAACACTTAGACTACTTTTAAAATTTGCTACTATCAACAAATCTTACATAAATATTTGTGTACTATGGGAAAATTTTAATGCACTCTTCTAATTTTCTAAAGTAAGTCCTAGAAGTGGATTTGCTAAGTCAAAATCACCCACATTAAAACGTTGTTATATGGCTTGACAAATCGCCCTTATAAAAGAGGTTGCAGCGATTCACACTTCCATCATCTCAGTATGTGAAACTGACTGTTCCCCTCATGCTCACCGATGCCTGCAGTTACCCAATTTTTGCCAATCTCATAAAAAGGAAATATTATCTCAGTGTTTAAGTCTGCTTTTATTTTATTTTTAGTGTGGTTAAACAGTTTTTCATATGATTACTGGTCGTTTACCTTTCTATTTTTGTAAATTGTCAGTTCATTTTCTGCCTTACTCCTGGGGTATTGCTCTAGCTGGTATGAATTTGTAAATTCTCTTTAGAGATATTAACATTTTGCCTGTTATTTATGTTGCATTTTCTGGGGTCACTATTTTTATTTTTATGTTTGCTTAGTATTTGTAAAAGAAGTTTTAAGTATTTATGTAGTTAAATCTATCTTACTTTACTTTTAGATATATATTTTTTTTCCTTTCAGAGGATGAAAGAATGAAGTCAACATGAAAGTGGGTCCATTAGGAGTTCAACAATCTCTTGGTCCAACTTCAGGATATAGGTGAATTGTTTAAGATGATGAAAGCTTTTACTTACACATTAAATATTTACCTAAGCCAACTTCAGGAGGATTTCTAACTGTACTAGATCCAAAGCTACTAAGTTTGCCCTACCAGCTTGTATCCTGCTCGAAATGTGTGGTGTTAAAGTTGGAATTGGACTTGGTTGTTAATGGAGGCTGTTGGCATGAGTGCTGGGTAGGTCAGCCCTGTTCTTTAACCCTGAACTTTCTGATTGGTGCAAGCTGCTAACATCAAAAGACCTCACTCTAATTTCTCCAGTGTTTTGTTCTTTGTTCTTTATGGCTGTTTAAAGTTGCTCCCAGGATAAAGAAAATGTAAATCATAACTGAGCAGAGATGAGATTTTTAACAAGATTGTTCACCAGGCAAAAGTCACCAGGGTTTGGGAGAGCACGTGAGGCTTGGGCTGTAGAGAAAGGTTCTAAATTAAGGTTTCAGGTTTAAGGGCTGTGTTTAGGCAAAGGCTCTGATTCAGGATAAAGTTCTAGTTCTTTCTGCTCCTACCTTTTAATTAGAAGGGTCTCTCTGGATCCTTCTGTTACTTGCCTTCTCTAGGCTATCAAAATTTTTTCAACCATGCTTACCACAACTGTCTCTCTTCTGGTACTTACCCCTCCTTAGGATTTTCAGACACATTCCTAAAAGGAAGCAGCTTTTTCTCCAAAATCTGAGTGCTTAAAAAGGAAGGATGCAAATCCTAATTTCCTTTTTTTTAAAAAAAAAACATTTGGACCTCAACTCTTCTGAAAGTTTTCTGGAGCATCTATCTAGAACTTTTTTGTGTTGTATTCAGTTTTCATTGTTCTTACATCCTCAGGCAATGCTGCGTTGCCTCCTTTATTGGTCTATCTGCTCTATAAGATATTGGTCTTCTTCTGGGCAGAAATGTGAACTACTCGTTTCTATATCTGTAGCGCTTAGCATCGTGTCAAGCATAAATTAAGCAATTCATAAATTTTTTTTATTGGTTCTATGTTAGAACAATGGAAAATATTTTATTCCAACATGCTGTTATGACCTCGGCTTGGGGTAAGTGGGAATTAATAGCTTCTGATGTAAATGCATGTGGAAAATAGTAGTATTTCGGTTGGAGGCATATGAAATAGCAGTTCAAAGAGGAAAATGGTAACTCTGATAATCCCCTTAGGAGAACAGCCAAAGATTGAGCATAACCATACATGGTCAGAGTGGGTATCTATAGAACAGGAGAAAAAAGTATGTTTGGAGAGTGGGCTAAATCCACAATGTAACCAAATAGGGCTCAGGCCACTGTATCCATTGATCATTTTTACTCAAATTTCATTGGCTAATCTTACATAAAAGGTCATATAAAATAAGATGATAATAGGATATGAAATTTAGTATGCCAAAAGTTTCTTGAAGACATCTAAAGTTCAGTATAATTAACTGATCTGGAGATTTATTTAGACATATCAAAAGAATTTTTTACATGCCAAAGGTTCTTGTATTTTGCCTTTTCTAAAAATGATCAAAATATCTTGTAGTAATTTTAGAGAATGGGGTATGCTATCAATAGAAGTCTTTAAGGTCTGTGATTTGGACAGATATTTGCTGAATTAATTCCAGAAATTAAATGTGTCTAGATTTTGTGTAACCCATGCCTAGAAATAGTCCACACAAAAAGGTTTCTTTTTACAAAATTGATCTAATGCCTTTCTCACACTAAAATTCTTTTTATGCATTTCATACACACACACACACACAACTTACAAATTATTTTAGTTCCACTGAAATTACTGCAAAACACTCAGTGCCCCCGAATACCTTAAGATTTATGATATAAAATTGCCTCTGTTCAAAATTCTGCCTACCTTTCTTTTGGCTTAGTGGGCAGTGAAAAGTGGGCAGGGATTATCAGGAACAGTCCTGCTTCTTCTGCAAAGCCTCTACTAGATATGCCTCTCTTTACCTTCACTGTCTGTCAGACTCTCTGGCAAAGATGAGATACCTATGGACTCCAACTCCCTTGACTATCAATGGGCAGAGGGAAGATTATAGGTAGAAGTATATGTGGCCAGATGGTGTTTTGAAAGTAGAAAAACAGAGTTCCATATTGCCTCACGCTCTGAAATGCTTTTTTTTTCCTGCTAGAAAAAAATGCCAAGCTAGAGGATCCAGTTCAATATTAGAAATTCAGTTTAATTCAAGAAGCAATAATGTGCTCACTGGCCCCATAGAAAAAGCTGTAAAGGTGCCAACCGGTGCTTGGTCATTTGGTCATCAGCATCAGAGTATGTATGAGATTGTCCCATATTTCAGTACCTTACCCATTTTTTCTTTTTTTTTTAACTTGATGAGAAAACATTGAGGTCTGTATTTGAGTTAAGTTTGACATTGATAATAATGGAACCATGGGCCATTTGGGTTCTCAGGCCTCATTAAGAGGTACTACATGGTTGAATGATAAGCCTATCCCCTTCCTATCCTGCCTTAATTGAATATATATGGTGGACAACCCAAGGATAACTTTTGGTGGTGGTTTGTTTGTTTTGTGGTTTCTAGGAAGTGAGTGTAGCCAATATGTTTAAGAGAGTATCAACTAAGCATTGTTTTTTGTTTTGTTCATCCCTCTCCCCAAGGTACTACCTAAGAAGTTGATTAGATATTAGGAATAGAGTCAAAACTGAGGAATACGAAAACTCTGTAAGATTTTTGTTGAGTACAACAAAAAGTCTCTTGAGGACCCTGACAGGAAACCAACCTAGTCTTACTGAATTCATGGCATTCCCCTGTCACCTGGAAAATTACCAAATATCCTTTAGTAATAATAATTAATATTGTCTTTCTCATCTTTAAAAAAAGACAAAATGGGCAGCAAGGTGATGCAGCCTCTGAATGCTACTGAAACATAAGACCACTGATATTCAATTTCTTTCAGCGCTTTTCTTGTTGGACCAGAGATTCTTTGCAGTTACTTGTGAGTGTGTTTCTTCAGGGCCTAGAGCTCCCTGGGCATGGGTCTGGAGAGATAAAGTAAACTAGGGTGGACCATGATGCTACATACTTTCTTTACTAGACTCCCGGTCATGCCTTAGTGCTTGGTACAATTAGCAGTTTCCTTTGAACAGTGTTGCCCTGGGCTGCTTTCTCTCATATACAGTGAGCAAGCATTATTCTTTCCTTTTTATGGGAGAAGTAGAGCAGAGAGGAGTGAAATAACCCCAGAGGTGAAAAATAAAAAATGCCTATGCTTGGAATGGAACATAATAATGCTATCAGTCATCTTGATGTTCATTCATTTCTGCAGAATATAAGAGGGAAGTCAGAGGAATCAAAGACAACTGCCCTTTCAGTTCAGGGCCTCAGGGAAGATCCTTAATGCATTCTTGTTCCTTGTTGTGCCTTCTCTTCTTTACAAATAGCCTCTTTCATGAAGCTAACAAGAAGAGACAAGAGAACAAGGCACCCAATTTGCAACTACCTTGGTGAGTAACCCTGGGCGGGGCACCTAAGGGGGGTGGGGGGCGGGGATCGTGGCGGGGAGGAGGACAGGGATGCTTTCAGGATCCAAAGCAAACTTAAAGCTCCTCCATAGCCCTTGGCCATTGTTTTGTTAACTTCAGAGGAAGTACAAATCTGTCCCTCATTCTTCAGCCTTTTGCTTATGTCACCACTCCACCTTCCCCCATCCAACACACACAGTTCCATCTGACTCACTCTAACCTTGGGCAAGTCAAGTCACCTCTAAGAACCTCTGTTTATTCGCAAGAGAGGATAATAGTCATGACTGCCTGATGGCTGGAGCTTGCATTAGTGATACGCAGGTGTGGCAGAGCTGTGTTGGTGCCAGGGTTGCTGCTGAACAAGAGAACTCTGATGTGGTTCCCTGCATTTTTCCAGCTGAGTGTGATCCTTCTCTGGAAGATTGATACCTAGCCTCTCCGTTTATAATAACCTCAAGGTTACAGTCTGAGATCTCTTTAGCAGTTTTTTTATTCCTCCTAGTTCATTTACATAAGAGATAGGGATGGTGGTTCCAGAGAGATAAAAACCATTTCTGTATTTAATTTTTAAAAGAACATTCTGATCTGAAGTTTTCTAGTTTTTCACAGAAGACAGAGTATCAAAACTAGAGGAGAACTTAAACACAATAAAACCATCCCTATCTCCATTTTGAAGAAGAGAAAATTGAGGCCAAGAGAGCCAAAGTAACTTACTTGCTCAGTGTTATGTGGTTAGCATGTAGTAGTAGCAGAGTCAAACAAAACCATGATTTCCTACCTTCTGTGCCATGCTGTTACCAATGGCAGAAGAACACGTAACCCTCAATGCACCATTCCCTCTGCACAACAGCTTAACACTGCTTTCTTCAGTCATTCCTGGCCATTTTTAAAATCGCTTTCTCTACTAAATTTATAGTCAATTACTAACGTGTTATCACCCATGAATATTTCTGAGAATTCATTATCTTCAAGATATTTTATAATTAGAAGTACATAAACACACACACACACACACACATACACAAACAGGGGACTCTAAGGAGAGTATGGTTTAGTTCACTTGGTACCCGTAAAACCTTCAAGATTATTTATCCCTGTTCTAAAAACAGTGTCTAGCATGTTTCTGGGAAAGAGAAGGTGACTATTGCAGAACTGAGGATGACTCATCAACAAATGTTTGTGGTTATTTACAGTGAAAATGCATTCTTTCTCCAAACTGGGTCACCACCAAAAATTTTAAAAACTGGCACCAACTCACAGACCAAGACAATGGTGGAGTCAGGATTAGGATGCCTATTTTGGGCTATGCTTTATGTTCTATTTGTTGGAGTGCAAGTTACAACTATGTTCTATAACACAACTATGCACAACTATGTTTTATAACAATGCCTCTTATCAGGGCCATTTCCATTTTGCAAAGAGAAACAAAATGAGATAAATTTTGATTAAAAAAAAAAAAAAAGTAAGGTTTTGAGAAATCTAGCCATTGGTTCTCACCTCTATTCGGGATTCCTACCCAGGAAGCAGAGCTGAATTTAACAAAGTTTATATGTTTGACCTTTAAGGTACATCTCCTCAGAACTGGTAGAATCAGGTTGAGGTGCTGGTTTTCTTTGGGACATAGGGAAGCCTGCTACCTGCTCATTCACTGCAACATCTCTGTTTGGCCTCTGGGTTTTCTTTCTCTCTCTTGCAACTTGCTCACATACTAACCATAAGTTTTCAGCTGCTTACCTTATGAAATCTAATGACATCACCACAAAGCAGGCCCCATGGATGAAGGCCATCATTACACAGAAATACACAAGAGCTCCAACTAAATGAGCCATATAAGGCTTATCTTAAAAAAAAAAAATGAATCCTTGAAAACATCAGCTCAGTGATGACAAAAAGGAATTCTGCCTGGTTAGAGTTATCTGCAGGAAGTATTTCTGATATTGTTTTGGCTTTAGAAAAAAAAAATTACTAGGCTTTGTGGGGGTTATCTAAGTACACAGGGAAACTGCAAATTCAGGCTGTTTGAATCCTGTTCTCCAATCCAGAGGTCTTATGTGAAAACAATCTCATTTTCATTTTGCTGCCTGGGAACCCCTCCAAGGCGCAATGAATTGCCAGCTTTCGGTGACCTTCAGTTCTCTAACTGCTCCCAAGGGAAACTTGACCTTGGAGCTGTAGAGAGAAGGGGAACAGTTTTCAAATTGGTGCGGGACAGGGGCAGAAGTTTCTTTCTTTCTGTTTGCTCATCGCCCAAAGATTCTCCTGTAGTAAGATCCTTGGAGCCTCTGAGGTCTCAGAAATGGGGACAAGGTGGGATGAAGGTGCATATTAACCCCAAGGGAAGAATGCAGATAAGAATGTCACAGGGGATGGAGATTCAGCCAGCCAGCCAGGAGCAGTTCTCAGCGAAGCATTAGGAATAAAAAAAGTCAGTGCCCTGTAGATGCACAGCCGATGCAGGGCTCCCTAATCCCTCAGAGCATTTTACGACCAGAATGGAATTCATAGGGCACAATAATTCTTCCTGTAACTTTAGTTAGTTTCTACAGGGATTGGGCCTACACCCATGATGAATTCCCAGCCCGGAGGAGAATTTCCTTAGGTTTCCTACCATATGGTAGCTGCTTGTTCCAGGAGGCATGCTATAGAGTTAACAAAGAGAGAGTTTGTGTCTGTCAGGAGACACCATGGGGCTCTGTAACCCCAACCCATGTACTCTGTCCCACAGGCATGCAATAGATTAGAGGACAGTGGTTTCTTACCTTTCCTCCAGCAAGAATTTCTTTGATATCTTACTTCGCTCATGGGCACATAGGTTTAAAAGATTTTTGCCTTTAAGGCAGATTTTATTAAGTAACAATTAGTGTCTTCATTTTCACTACTCAGTGAAAATCTAGTTAGAGTAACAACATTACCACACTGACCTAATAGGATCCTAGCTAAAAACAAAGCAGTCAATATCTGAGTGGGTCCCTGTAGCCAGAGAACAGGCTATGTAGTCACTTGGCATTTTTAATTCCTGAAAATAGCTCGTGTGTCCCATTTGTACCATTTGCAAACCTTAAGAATCCAGAGAACTGCTTGTGTGTTAGAAAAAAAAGAGCAAATAATTCGGAGTCCCAAGACCTACGAGACTTGTTAGCTGAGCAGTGTTGAGAAAGGCACTCACCTTTATCGAGTCTCGGATTTCTTATCTGAAAAGATATATACTATCTGAAAATGGCACTCCCCTTACAGGGCTGTTATGAAGATTAAATAAAACCGTATAGGAAAGTTTTGGCATATTTAGCTTTCTTGAAGACAGAAATTTGACAACAAAAATAAAATTTAAAAATATCCCAGTATAATAGATATAAATAAATTGTTTCTATGTTACATTAAAATCAAATAAACAAGCACGACAACATTTGTGAACTAGGAGATAAAAACAATTTTCTCTCATAGCTTCAGAAAGAGATTAAAATGTTGACCTGTGAGCTATTGTTAGTGTGTGTGCTGTATGTTTATGTGCATATATGTGTGTGTGCTTGTGTGTATGTGCGTTTTGTGATTACTTTCCTGGAGGAGAGGAAAATCACTGTGATGTTGGGTTTGATGCCTGTACAGGATCAAGAACACCTGGGGAGGGAGTAATAAATACATACTCTGGGGATTCAAGCAAATCATTTAGAAAGGACTCCTTACAATTTTACATTTAGAATGCAAACAGTATAGATACTGTTGGTTGGTAATTTTTCCCAGAACAGAGTGGTAAAAAATATGAATTTTTGAGTTCAACAGACCCAGACTCAAATTTCACTTCATTTTACTAGCTCTGTGATTTGGGCAAGTTGCATAAATTTGTTCCAGGAATTAAAGAAAAAACATGTAGATAAAAAGGCAGTATACTGTTCACTTCCTGCTCAGAATCAGCACTGGATAAAGGTGAGATGTTTTTCGAGTCCTTGTATTTCAGCTTCATTATTTTTCTCTTTAACCCAATGTTTTAGTCAACATAAAGGATAGCATGTGAGTGAAGTTCAGGCAGGGTTAGCTGTATTAGAGGAGAGTCTGTGGACTTGGTGATGCAATCCCTATTTATGATGCCTCTGCTATCAGACTCTTAGGTATGTATGAGGTGGGTCAGTGAAAAAGAGAAACTCTTTGTTTAGAGATGATTAGCCAACCACATTTCATGAAGGCATTTCTTTATCTCGAATTTGTAAATGCTCAGGAATTGTGGCTGCTTTGAAATTTCTGTCAGACGGCTAATGGAATTTTTAGGATGCATCTGAACAAAAGTGAAACTGGAGCAAGGGGAGCAGGGGGAGGCTTGCTTTTGCACATTACTCATCTACCTCTTAAATAACACCAACAAGCCATTTGGACTCTAAGCTAACATGGGTCTGTTTGGGTTACAAGTACTGGAAACCTTGATATGATAGAATGTTGATGGTTCCTCTTGCTTTAAGTCTCTTTTTGCCCAAGTCCCTTGGATTTAGATGAGTGGATATTAACTGAGGTAAAATGAGATAGTAATTCAATTGTTGAATGCCCAGATAAGAATTAGGATTGTGTCATTTTTGTCTTGGAAATAGTCCCGATGTTGTACCTTAATTGGGGCTCATGGATTTGAGTCTCTGGAATATAAGGCGGCAGAAATCTTGCCTGAGAACTGGATGGGTTTACTTAGGAAATATTCCTGATTACATAGGAAGACTCCAGAAACTTCTACCACTAGATGTACTTCTCTTTGTTCCTTATCTGACCCCCACCCCCTCACCTCTCACCAAAAATATCCAGTCTAGTCCAATGCTGGCCTTTTGATCATAGTGGTACCCAACTGGCCTGGGTATGGCACATCCGATAAAGAACCTCTGACTCCGATAGTCTGCTTTGCTTTCTTTAGTAACCCCCACCCCCCACCACACACGTGTACATGAGCACGCACACACGTGCACACACACACACACAAATTTATACTCCTGCGTGTGTTCAACTGTATG